TCACACAGCTGGCTGCTTCACAGAACAAGCATTTGGGGGGCTGGGCAGATGACTCAAAAGCCTGAAGACCTGAGAAGACCCACTTAAAAAGTGCTGGGAGAACCATTTGCAAACCCAGTGCTGACAAGGTGGAGGCCAAAGGATTGCTGGGGACTCTCTGGCCAACTAGTCTAAGTTGCATTGGTGAGCTTCAAGTTTAGAGACCCAGTCTCAGAAAATTCTATATCGAGCAATTGATGAAGACACCCTCTCTCTCTCTCTCTCTCTCTCTCTCTCTCTCTCTTTCTCTCATGCATGCACGCACACACACACACGCACACGCACATAGCATTCAATACCCATGCAAACCCATGCTTCCTAAAGAATGTAGCATAGGCATTTCATATTTGAAAGTCTTTTGTATTCTTAGTACAATTTTCTAAAGATTATTTCCCTTGAGCCACATCACAAGCTCGTGAGGTAGAGAGCTCATTTGCATAGCTTACATATGAAAATTCACAGCATGAAGAATTTAAGTCTTAATTTAGTAATTAGCACTAAGAGCTAGCGTTCCATTTTCCACATGTCTAATTCAGTGTTCTTTCCACTCCATCAGACCAAAAAGCCCACTTGGAGATGAGAATCTGTGTCTTTCACTTCCATTGCTTAATGTTAAGGAGCTGGGGTGTCTTCATATTCTAGAGATGATGTGCATTTCATTTAAAGACAGGTCTCTTTATTTGAAAATAGGACTACTACAAGAATCAGAAAAATGTTTTAGATACTTATTAAAATACCCAGGCTACTTTTAAGGCTCCCTGTAAAAGTGTTCTATAACTGAACTCTCGTTGTAATTACAGAGACAAACTTAGTCTTTTGTGGCAAAGGCAGTCGACAAGGAAAAATAGATCTGGGTAGAATACTTTTTTTGTTTTTCAAAATAGCACAACCTAGTTTAGGATCGATGGTGACTGCCAAAGTAGAGCCACAAACTGGAATTTTAAAAATTATTTTAATGGTAGAGGAGAGATCTGTGGTTTAAACAGATTGAATTTTGGTGTCCAAGAATGTATCTTATTTATCTGCATATGGTTTTACAGGTCAGAAATGTCCACAAGCAGGGTTTTTTAAGGCAAACTTACAGAAATGGAATGCATTGTTAGAATACTGGGGGGGGATGCACTCATTCTGAAGTCAGAATAGAAGACCATGTTACAATTTTTCTTACAGTGTTTCCACTGAATTCATAGATTCTCCCAAGTTGGAAAGAGTCATTGATTCCACAGTTGTAGACAAACACTGCTTTCTTTTTTCATGATAAGGACCCACATCAGATGCCTGAAAGTCTACATCTAATTTACTCTATTAAAGGAACAGATTCTGATATGAAAGTACAGCTCTGAGGGGGAGCATTCTGGGAGTGAAATGCACAGACTTAGGAGGATATGAGAATCTGTCTCAACCCTATGGGAAAACCCACAGGGACCCAGAGGTGCAGACAGACTAGATGATGTTAATAACAGAGCCAAGGCAGCAGGTTGCTTAGGCACCCTGTGCTAGAAAGAATAATGAGAATACTATCAAATTCTAGTTTATAAGATTCTTATATTGGTGTTGACAGAAACAAAGAATTGGTACAGTTGGAGATAAGGTAGGTTCTAGAATGGTGGGCAACTATTTCTTTTCATTTCAATTGACTGATTGATTGATTGATTATTAGGGTTGTTCTAGGGTTGAATTAGGACCTCCTGTCTATTAGCTACGTGCTTTTCAACTGAGCTATATCCCCAGGTACTGTTTTTATAAATTATTTCAACTCAGGGCCCCACAAATCTGTCCAAACTGACCTTCAACTTTCCTTGCAGCACAGGCAGGCTTTGAACTGACAGCCTTTCTGCTTCAGCATCCCCTGTAGCTGCAATCGCAGGCCTGAGCCACCAAACACCACTATCATTCCAGAAGAAGGTGAGAAGAGGCTGTAACTTCAAGAGAAATTTGGGATGCTCTCGACGGTGGTCCAGGAGTGGATAGTAAAGCAGGTTATTCCCCATACTGCAACAGGTTCATGGGGTCAAGGGCCACCTATATTCTTAAGGCAGCCTCACAGGGACACTGCTCTGATGTCAGCAGAGACTATCAGAGAGCAGTCTCACCAAAAGCTGTCAGGAAGAGACACAACAGGTGACTGACCTGACACTGGACATGGACTGTAGGCTGGTTTCAAGCACACCTTTAAAATAAATCACAAGCCTTCTCTATTTGAAAAGAAAAGGGTTTTAGATGACATAGAGAGAGTAAGTCACCTCGAAGTAAATTATACAATCACGTAGGGGCAGAGCAAGGATAGGGAGCAACTCCACAAGACTCTATAGAGTCTAACAGTTAAACTCTCAGAACCCCAGCTTTAGACTTCAAAGTTTCCTATAGTTGTGTGTTGCTCTCCCCTGAAAAGGAGCCACTCCCTAAAACTATGCAGAATGCCCAAAGGATTGACCCTTACACATGTCCTTTTTAAAAGTGAAACCATGTGGATGTCAGGCCCCTTATCCTGTCCTTTTAACTAAGTAAGAGAACCTGAGAATCAAGTAAGTAGATTGTATGTGAAGAGCCATGAAATGTCATTAAGTGCTTTTCTCTGAGATCTCTAGCTTCATTAGAAAGAAATTTGGTGTCCATCAACACTTCCTATTCTTTATTGTCTCTGCACAATATAACTGGAGGAATCAGTGTTTCCCTAAGATGTACATTGGCCTCAGCCTCTGCTCTACTTGTAATCTTATCCTGTGGGAAAAAAAGTCCTTCAAGGAAGCCTGTTACGGAAGTACATCACTTAACTGGCTGGTTTTGTGACAATTTGAATCATCAGAGAGGAAGGAGTCTCAGTTGAGGAAATGCCTCCATGAGATCCAGCTGTAAGACATTTTTTCAATTAGTTATCAATGCGGGAGGGCCCTGCCCATGGCGGATGATGTTTTCCTAGGCTGGTTGTCTTGGGTTCTACTAGAAAACAGGCTGGCCAAGCCAGAGGAAGCAAATCAGCAAACAGCAGCCCTCCATGGCCTCTGCATCAGCTCTTGCCTTCAGAGTTGCCTGATTGAGTTTCTTGACTTCTGTCAGCGATGAACAGCAATGTGGAAGTATAAGCCAAATAAACCCTTTCTTCTCTAACATTTTGGCCATGGTGTTTTGTTAAAGCAATAGAAACACTAAGACATTCATTATCCCTTAAAACTGTATTGAGGAAGGCAGTAGTATGCTAAGCACACAAGGAGTCCATGGGCCACCAGACTCGAGCATCATATTAACATCAGACCATCCATGTTCTGCCATCACAATGGTGTGACCCTTTGAAATGAATCACTAGGAAATGGAGATAAGCATTCTTTCCTGTCACATTGGTAGATGAAATCATGTAGATGGCATATTAACATGTCCCCATGATACTAGTGACTGACGGTGCCAAGTTAATTCCTTTTCCCATCTTGTCCACAGGATACACAAGTAAGAAGTCAGGGGTCTTGTCTGGTACTTTCCAAATTGATAAATGATGTTCTAAAGTAATGAGAGTTCGGGCTTGAGTCTCCTTTATGATTAAATGTCTCTTTTTCCGTATCACTAAACACAAACCAAATGTCTAACCAAATGCAAGTGGTTTCATCACACTGTAAGAATAGAGTGGACAAAGACACTCAGAAAATAAATAGATAAAGGTTGAGGCATGCATCAGGTAAGGAGAGTACTGGAGTTATTCCAGAACAGTTTCCTCCTCAAACCCAGAAACTATGAGGGAGCCAGTAAACATCCACACGAAAAAATTGTTTTCAGAGGCAGGCACATTCATTTTAAAAATCTGTATTTCACTGAACATGTTTAGTTTAAGGTTATAGCTCAAGAAGGAAAGATGAATACTCATCTCAAGGTTGTGAGTTATATGTTAGAAGGGTTAAAATCATAAACAGGAAAATGTCTGGGCATGCCTACCTTTCTTTTCCATTAAAAAGGATTTGGAAGGTCTGTTAATTGTCTCTGTGAGCACCTGCCTCACTTAGCTGCTAACAAATAGAGCAATAGTAACCTTACGAATGCCATAAAAATGGTTTTGGGGGGCATCAGGGAGCACAAGCATGTTCCAGAATTACACAGAAGAAATTACACTCAAGTCAATGTGAAGTACAAGTAAAAATTCCAAAGCTCTACCCACTATCAGTCCTCATGGTTCAGACAATCAGACCTTGACTGTCCAGAGTCATGGAGGCTTCTCCCTTCTTGGCAGCATTTGTGCCCACCCTTCATCGGTCTGAAAAAAATGGAATCAATGTCTCACTGTTGCCAGGTTTTGGCCACTTTTGAGACAGTCATTTAGAAAAGTGGTCACAGCTCTAGGGTTCTGTTCCTTCCTTCCTTTTCCCCAGCAAACTGTGGGGATGAGGAGATGAAAGAGAAGCTGCCTTACAAGAAGATGGAGAACTGGAGCCCAGCCGTGACCCCCAAAATAGACACAAAGATACAGAGAGCATATTTTTCTACCAATAGCCCAAGGGAGAACCTTTTCAATTGAAAAGACTTTTGATACAAGGCCAGACTGCCCAAGATGACCGCCTAAAAATATACAAAAATCCAGGAAAAACAAGCTCTCTATCCTGGAGAGACTGTCAGTGCAAAATAGTTACTAGGCTTTTCCAGTGACCAATAATAAAAGAAAAATAGGCTCCCCATTATGAGGCCAGTGCTGGAGGGTCTGTCCACTGGTTCTGAGCCAGCTTGGGGATTTTCTGAGTGTGTTACAAATTACAGGAACAAAATGTGGACTTTTTGCTCTAGCCATGTTTTCTGAGGCCAGACAATTTATTATTAGGTTCGTTTCCTACATCTGTTGCAGAGAGCTGTCCATGTATGGACATTCATATGCTATTTTGAACAACAATTATACAACACATACAAACATTATATGAAAGAATTGACAGAAACATAAGCAAAATGTAATGAAGTTAGTGATTCTTTTATTATCAACTGCCCGGCAACTTTATATTTTATTGACTGTAATTTTTTTCTAAAAAAAAAAATCCTAAGTAGAAAAGATGAATCCAAAAATACAACCTATGCTCATATTCTGAGTTTATTGTTTCCTGATATAGACAGACATTTTTATGATAACAATAATTTAATGCAATGATGCCCCCATTATTTTAGGGGTTACCATAAGACACTTAAGGGACTGAAAAGGTAGATCAGTCAGGTTCTCAGCAACCTTGTTACAAATATAAATAGATAGATGACAGAGAAAGAGAGAGAGAGAGAGAGAGAGAGAGAGAGAGAGAGAGGCGATGGGAAATATATATCTCAGTGCTAGCTGTAAGAGTTAGAGACAAGAAGGTCCCAGGAACTTAATGACTAGACAATCCGGCCAACTGACCCATTCCAGGATTAGTAAGAAACCCTGTCTCAAACTATAAGATGGAAATCCGTAGAGGAAACACTTGACATTGACTGCTGGCCTCTACACACATGAGGGCGGGATGGGCACTAGTTAGGGAGCCTTCCATCTCTAAGGTCCCATTAATAGTTACTTTCTTTTTCTTCTGACACTCTAATGTGTTATATAATTATTGCTCCAAAATAACAACATGTGTACTTCCATACATGGTGAGCTTTTGAGCTTGTGTCCCAGTCATCAGCACAGTTCCTGACACGTGGGAGATACTTGATACGTGTTCGATGAGTGAATTCCTCTGTTATGAGCATCATTTGAAGGTATATTTCATTTATAGTTTTATATTATGACTTTCATGGATCCAAACCACTGTGTGTGCAATAAATTCCTCTTAGTGCTTAATGCTAGAGGCAGAGCTCCCCCATGCCATTCCCTTTACACAATGGTAAAAGCAATATGTTTCTCCTGCCTGGTTAAACCCTGGCATTCTCCAGACCAAGTTGAAAGATCAACTATCATCAATACTCTTGGTCAACAATTTCTCATGCAATGTTTTCTCTTCTTTCTTCCTATTGTCTGTCCATTGTTTTGTCTTTTATCCTTGTTTTACATAAACTTTAACTTAAACTGCCTCACATATTTGTTGGGAGAAAATAGGAAGTAAACAATGAATTAAAAAATAACAAATATGAGCTGGCAAGATAGCTCAGTGAATAAAAGCTCTGACCACTGTGCCTGCTGACCCTAGTCTAATCCCTAAAACCCATATGATGGAAGAGGAGAACAGATTCTCACAAGTTATCCTGGGTCCTCTACATACAAACTGTGGCATGTGTACACCCACATGCATGCCTAAAAGAAAACAGGTAAAAATCTAAACAATAAGTGAAGAAAGAACTAAAAAAAAAAGCAGTTAGCATATTTCCAATGGCTTCTTATATAAACCACAGAAATACCAACAAAACACTATTGCGTTCTACCCATAATCTTCTCATGTATTTCGATAGAAATAAGCTGAACAGATGTAGTGTTAAACTGTACAAAGACTATTGGACTAGAAAACCAGAAACACAGCTCAACCATTACCCCTCACTAGCAGTGTAACCTTGAACAAGACATACGAATTTGTAAGCATCTGTTTGGCTTCTTCCAGATGAGGAGCCTTCATTCTTTCAACATAAAGAGCCTTCACTGTGTGACAGGGACAATGGAGGGCACTGAAGATGTTAAATAAGATGAAGCTATGCTATTAGGCTAGAGCGTAGAATAGTGACAGACAGAAAAGCAAACAGAGAGAGGGGTTCAGAGTAACTCATTCCCTTGCCATGTGGCACCGGCCAGAGGGGAAATACAGAAGAGAAACATCTATGCCAGACTGGAAGTTTCCTGGCTATTTGAAAGGTAGCATCATCTGCATTGCTTTTTCACAGTTGATTGGGAATTATCTACATGAAAAAATGGGGCAGGGAAGGGAGAATGGGGCACTCCAGGGCTCAGAAAGAGCATGTGTGAAATGATGAGACACAAGACAGAATGACAAGCTGGGAGCTACAAATTGTTGGGCAATAACATAATATACATCCCACCCACCTCCCAGGGTGGTTTGAGTGATCAGCTGAGCGGATGTATACATGGGAAGTGCTTTTAAAACTGCAAAGCACTGGGCTGTATTCAGATGTAAGAGGTTATTATTAGACACTCCATTTTTCCCTTCCTCCAAATTGGAAACATTTGCTGAAGTAAACATTGCTGATGCATTAGCTGTCAAGATGGTGTATTATATTTGGGAAACATTTGCCAATGTCTGTTCAGTTTTCAAATTCCCAGTCACATGTGGTTTTTGTTTGAGCAAATGCATCAAGTAATAATGCGTTTATTGTTAATTGTGCAATATCAGGCTTCAAGGTTTAAATCATCTCCAGTCTATGCTGCCTTTATCCCCAGCTGACGGTGGGTGCTCACCATTGTTTATTAACAAAGACTAATACATGACCACTCTTGATCAAATTTGTGTTGGTCAAAATTCATCAGAGGAAAGTCAAGATTTCTTGTGGGGGGAGTTTATGCAGTGTACATATATACCTATGACTGTGTGTACATGTGGGAAGACTAGAGAAAGACACTGGATATCTATCTTCCTCTATCACTCATTACCCACATGCCTTGAGACAGTGTCTCTCATTGAACTGGAAGTCTGTCTTTTTGGCTAGGCTGACTGGCCAGCCAGCAAGTTCCTGGGATCTTTTTGCCTCTGTTCCCCAATGTTGGGATTATGAACACACATGACCATGCCTTCTGGTTCTTTCACAAATTTACTGAAGACTCAACCTCAGTTCCCCATATGGAAGAAACTTGCATGGAAGTGCTCTTCCCCACCGAGCCATGTCCCCAGCACCTCAAGGTTCTTAGAAGGGACAAGTGTGCTGATAAAAACAAATCCCCTCCAAGCCAAAGTAGAAAAGAAGTTTCATTATCTCCACTCAAAATGGCTTCTCCAAAAAGCTCACTGGAACTCAGAGTCAAATGCTGATCTTCCTCTGTGATGCTTCAAGAAACAAACACTTCTCTCTAGAGGATACTTCTTGGTGGTTATAGAAATCAGCAGAAAGCATTTAGGGTAAAAAAAAACTTGGATGAAGAGCTCATGTTTGCAATTCTTGACATTCACAGACTCAGTCCCTGGAGAGTTTGAGTCACTGCTAGTGTGAAGTGTCCTCCTTTCTCTCCTTCCTGTGGAGGGAGATGAGGCAGGAAGGGACAAGAGGTGGTTTGGTTTATTTCTTTTTATATATTGCCAACAAGTAAAGTAACATGGACATGAATTTTCCATTTCAAATCCCCAGAAATTACCTGTCATCTCTCACTCTTGCTCCTTCCTACAGAAGAGAATTAGCTTCCAGTTTGGGGAGATCTGTGTTGCTGGTGAAATTCTCTATTGGATCATGATTAATGAAGCCACTCATTAGTAATATTGACCACAGGGGACAGGGACTTGATATTGATGAGCCTGAAATGTATTTCATTCTTCCTGTGTAGCTGGAGCAAAACCATACCATAGTTCATTGACGCTGGACCAGACCTGAAAGGTTATTCTGTGTGACTTCATTGTATGACTGAGAAATTCTAAGAGGAAAGTCAGCTTATTTGTTAAAGATCAGGCAGTGACTAAGTGGCACAGTCACACTCCGAGCCTCCAGGGCCCTTCTCCTATACTCACTGCTGATTCAAGGCTACTAAGTTGAGGGTTGGGAAGGGGAACAATTCTGGAATTGGCATCTGCCTGGGGTGGGTGTGGGGTGGCTTTCTTCCAGGGACCCACCTGCTAGCACTCAGTCCCACCACCTGAGGGAGCTGTGGAGTCCATTCTTCCACCACCTAGCACAAGAGTCCATTCTTCCACCACCTAGCTCTGCCATGTGCTGGGGCAGCGAACCCCTGCTTGGCAACTAAGTGGTATGGGTCTGTGGCAAGGCAAGTAGCCAAAGAAACAAACTCCGCTGTGCCTTAACAAGAGCAGTGGCTGAACCGCCAGACAAAATGGGAAAAAATGATTTGTTGTAGAATTCTTGTTAGTCTAGTCAGATCTCATTCGCCTGTGAAACCGGATTTGTAGGCACATGTACTGGCCAATGAGTCAGCCTTAAAAAAAAAAAAAAAAAAAAGTCATTCATAATTTATGTATAAACAAGAATAGCTTTTGTTTCAGAGAACTCCAGAGGGTTTCACAGCCCTGTCTCCCAGTCCCATTCCCGAGAAGCGGTTCCTGTCTCAAGGCGGTTCCTATAGGCCTATAAATACTTTGATGTTCAGACATCTGGAACTTATATTTGGTGTTGACTAATGAGTATTATTATTTTATTATGTATTTATATATGATCTAAAAGAAATTTGAGGTTAGATGCCACATAACTCTGTATACACACTGAACAATGACAAATTCTTTTTACCCATTACACTGATGATTTATTACAGGGCATAAGAAGTTCTGAGTCGTTCACTTGACATATAATTGTGCTTGGGAAGATAGTAATGGTGTAGAGGGAATGTAAAATTGCCCTTAACGTATATTGTTAAAATACTTTGAAAGTGAACAAAATGGACTCCAGAGGCACTAT